GCACCTGTAGTCCCAGCTATTTAGGAGGCTGAGGCAAGAGAATTGCTGAAGCCCAAGAGTTTGAGGTTGCTGTGAGCTGAGATGCCACAGCACTCTACCGAGGGCGACATACTAAAACTCTGTCTCAAAAAAAAAAAAAAAAAGAACTGAAATTTCATGAGGATGATAGCTTGAATTCAAGGGAATTTCCTAGAACTGAAGAGCTTGATGATATAAGTTGAAAGGGCCCACTTAGCGCCTGGCACTTAGGTGAATGTGAAAATGCCCATATCAAGGCAAGTCACCCCTGACTTAGCAACAGGGTTTTCAGCTATGGACATGTTTTAGGATCTTACGGATCAGACTACAGGCAGTTTCAGAATGGGAGCAGAGACTACGAGCTCATCAGGAAGCCCGGACTCTGCCTCCCATATCAGGGTGGATAGTGCTCCACCACCTTTCCCAGCTTGTCCTCTAAGACAGGAAATGGGGGTGAACAAGTAAGTTTTCTGGGACACCATCCATAGGGGCAATAAAATATTGCTATAATACATCAGAAATCTGGTGCCAGCTGACTCAAGCTGCCATATAACTGACAAAACATGAATAGATCCTTTCTCTGGAAGCAAATAGACCCCTCCAAAGGAAATCTACAAAAGGGCTCTCTCACATGTCAGTTCTGCTGCCTGATAGAATGGTTGAACAGATATACAATAAAGACTATTGGATTCGGGGACTGAAAAATCATTAACCTGCCTGGGGCTTTGTGTATTTCAGTACAGCCCTGCAGGCTCTCTAGTTTTTCTTTCCCTCCCAAGCTACAGGGCCCAGGCCAGTGACTGCTGGGCTTCCCAGAGACCAGACCACTTAATAGGAACTTCGTGTTCCTCTCTGGTATTGTTAGTTGTGCCAGTCACCCGTGTCTTTTTAGTGATTACCAGAGAATCCTTAAAATCAGCAAGATCTCCATGCTTCCCTTTGGGGCAGCAAGAAGGAAGTGGACAGGCTGCATTCCTGTCCTCACCAGCCTTAGGGGACAACAAACTTGAAGGCAAGAGAGGGTGGTCCTCCTTGGCAGCTCCATGCAGGGCTGTGCCCAGGAAGTTCCAGTGGAACTCCCCAGGAAGAGCCACTGAAAGATTTTTTTTTTTTGGAGACAGAGTCTTACTTTGTCACCCTCCGTTGAGTCCTCTGGCGTCATAGCTCACAGCAACCTCAAACTCTTGGGCTCAAACGATTCTCCTGCCTCAGCCTCCCAAGTAGCTGGGACTATACGTGCCCACCATAATGCCCGGGTATTTTTAGAGATGAGGTCTCGCTCTGGCTCAGGCTGGTCTCGAACCTGTGAGCTTAGGCAATCCACCCACGTTGGCTTCCCAGAGTGCTAGGATTATAGGCACGAGCCACCATGCCTGGCCACTGAAAGATTTTTAAAAGGAAAGGGGCCAGGTATTTAAAAGAGGCTAAAGGAGCTGTGTCCTGAGGTAACATGGGACAGACCAGGGCCCGGGAAGTCAGTGAGGAGGCCATTGCTGTGACCCAGCTGAAGTGAGGCTTGGATAGGGCAGCTGTTAGTGGGACAGAGAGGTGAGGAATGGTGCAAGAAGTATATGAACTTAAAACCAACCATTCATAACTAACCATATGGAATGTCAGTTCAGCAGAAAGCCTCAGAGGTTAACAAAATCACATTAGAAAGAAAGCTGTTTTTCGGAGGTCTTCAAACAAAACTCCAAAAACCCCCCCAAAAAAGATAGCATGTAATACAGTATATATTACATCACAGAAATCAGTGTGATCTCATGACTTTGAAAGGAGTTACGTTTTCGGCTCTATTGTAACAGCCCGATATCAGCAACAGGAGGCAGCACTTTTGTTCAATATCAGCTCTCATTCCCATTCTAGGCACCCAGATTTTAATCTCTACTTTTTCTTTTTTTAACTAAAAGGAATCAGGATTCCTTGGAGGATAGTTGAGTCCATGCTTTGGGGCAAGAAAAAAAAAATCAATATGGGCCTTGATCCTGTTGTTTCCAGAAAGAAATGTGGAGTCTGATTTTTTCTTTTTCTTGAGATGGTCTCACTCTGTTGCCTAGGCTAGAGTTAGAGTGGTGTCAGCCTAGCTTACAGCAACCTCAGGCTCCTGGGCTCAAGTGATCCTCCTGCCTCAGCCTCCTGAGTAGGTGGGACTACAGGTGCCTAACAGCAGACCCCACTAATTTTTCTATTTTTAGTTGAGACAAGGTCTTGCTCTTGCTCAGGATAGTCTTGAACTCTTGACCTCAAGCAGTCCTCCTGCCTGGGCCTCCCAGGGTGCTAGGATTACAGTGTGAGCTACTGCTCCTGGCCTGGAATCTGATTTTTGATGTGCCATGCCAAAAGACAAAGGAGTCAAATACAAGTTCCCGCTTGCGAAGTTGTGCCAATTTAAAATAGTAACAATAGTTAATTAGAAAAGTTGAATTTATAAAAGGCTGTGAGTTTGTGACTCTGAGCGTAAAGTTAAACATAAACTATAAAAAAAAGTACCTGCAATTTAAAAAGAAGTTAATAGCGTAGATATGCCTAAGTGTGGTTATAAAAAATCTTAAAAGAGATTTTTTTTGTTTCCAAAGAACCCCTTTCCCCAGAAAAATAAAGCTGTTCATACGTATAGTAGGAAGATCATGTGTATCTGTTCAAAAAGCCACTAACAGCATTTCTTTGTCTAGAGGATCCAAATTAGTTATTTCTCAAGGATATTAATGGCTGACTTTGAGATTGCCAGGCTGCGCCTATACAAAGAGAGAAGCTGAAGCAGACGTATACCAAACACTCGAATTTCACCGGATAATTGAGATAAGAGTGCAAAATGTCATGGCCCAGAACTGTCTCACAGTTGGCCAATATACCATGCTGTGTGTATAAACAACATTTTAAAATTAACTTGATGCACTTTAGTTAGCATTAGAGACATAAGATAGTACTTTTTAATTTAGTTCAAAATATCATAAACTTGGTATACTCCAGAGTTCACAGTTCAGTCACTTCTCATGAGCCAAGACTTTACAGTTTTCTCAATAGAAAGGTCATGGTTTTTCTGGAAATAGGACAGGGTTGCAAAATAGCCTTTTAATGAGCAAAATATAATGAGTCATAGCTTAGAGATTAAACTTACTATGGGGTGTGCAGGTTTAAAGAAGTATTACACAATATGTTTTCTGAGTTTATCCAAATTCTGAACATGTGTAAGATTTAAAGAAAGCTAAACTAAATTAGTAGCAAGGCCCAGTCCACCCTTTTAATGGTTTCCAGCTAGAAAGTCCTAGGGCAATAAATATGTTGTGTCCATTAAAAAATATTATTCTACTTAGATGTAAGGATTCTGACAGCAAATTAAAATACCAATTGTTTTAAAGACAGATCTATAAATCTTAGACTTTACAAAACATTAAGTTAATCCAATTTTACACATACATTTTTGCTTCAAAAAAAGCATTCGTTTCTGGTTCCTTTAAAGAGTAAATGTTCTAGTGCATGCAAAATATTTTGATTTACCTTTTTTTTTTGAGACAGAGTCTCACTATGTCACCCTGGGTAGAGTGCTGTGGTGTCACAGCTCACAGCAACCTCAAACTCTTGGGCTTAAACGATTCTCTTGCCTCAGCCTCCCGAGTAGCTGGGACTACAGGCATCTGCCACTGTGCCCAGCTAGTTTTTGTTGCAATTGTTATTGCTGTTTAGCAGGACCAGGCCAGGCTCGAACCCTCTACCTTCAGTGTATGTGGCTGGCGCCATAACCACTGTGCTACAGGAGCCAAGCCTGATTTACCTTCTTTCAAAAATAGAATAGTTGTGTAATACAACTCCTTTTGAATGCATTTATATAGCATCTTCTTGTGCCATCCCAAACTGATCCCCGTTAGAGCGTTGAGATGAACTATCCCCATTTTACAAAGGAGGGAGAAGGAGAATAGAGTTATACTGATGGAGAAGGGAAAGGAACTTAGATTTCTTGCACCAACACTTCTCAAAAGGGCAGTCCCATCCCAGTGGTTCTCAACCACAGTACACCAGGGCACCCTCATGTCATCATGATGAAACATTGTAGACAGCAGAAACCTTCTAGATGCTTCTAGGTCCTACCCCCACCACATGGCTTGCGTGTGCATGTATCTTACAGACACACACACCTCCCCAGTGTGTGGGGAGGAATCTAAGTGTTGGCAGTGAGACCCCATGGAAATATGGGTGAATTTAATTATGGGCTATCAATGGAAGCTTTGTTGGAGAAAATCTTGATCATCTCCACTCATTACTTATGTCAGGATTGAAATGTTTCCAGGAACTTTTTTCTGTTATGGTTTTGCTGTCACTTCTACAGTAAACTGTTGTTTTTTTAGCACAGACTTAAAGATCAGGACCTGAGAGGGTGATGCACGTAGCTCAAAAAATTAACCCCGCTCCCCAACCTATTTATTGCGTGCATTTGCCTTTTTCATATCTTTGATTACCCTTGAAACATCTTGAAATTAAAACAAAATATTCACCAGTGAAAAGATGTATATGCATGGATGTATAACAAGGGACGGAGGAAATTGTACAAATTTGTTAATTTATTACAAAATTTCCACTCACAGAAAAACACAAGAAAACTTTTATACTTTTATATTTGGGAAAGGAACTGTTGTCTCAGATACAAAATAATTTACACATAATCCATACAATTTTATTTTATATAGAAATAGGTCATTATTACAACAGCTGTACAATTCACTACACTTCATCTTATAATTACATAAAATCTTTTCTTTAGAAACATCTCAACATAACAAAACATACAAAAAAAGCAAAGTGCATTTTGAAAAGGAAAATCCAATTCTCAGTATTATCATGAAAGATATGTAGAAAGATGCAGCATTCTCACTCAAAGGGCCAGCCCACGGCAGGGTTTCCTTGGGGACTGGCGCCCCCCAGGCCTGTCTGGCTAGTGAAACCTCTCCCCTCATAGTCTTAAGAGTTCTCAACAGAATTCTGGAATGTCAACTGGCATGATTGTGCTTTGCTTTGAGTCCACCTCTATAGTTGCAATCAATGAAGTAAACAGGAAATAGTCCAGTGTTATATTTAGGGGGAAAAAAATCACTGCCAGTAGGCATGGGGCGGGGGGAAAGCCTCATCCGGTCAGGGCTGAGGCCAGAGGGTGTGAATCTGTGGATTGGTTAGTGACCAGCTTTTCTACCTGTTTGGTGGGCTGCTTTTGTTATGGCGGTCTCCCCCATGAAATCATGAGACCTTATTATTTTTAAGAACAGAAAGTGCCTAAGTTATTTCTTCTGTGCAGGTGTGCAAATTAAAACAAAACCAACCATTTAAAAATAATAAAAAATAATCTCTTTATTCCCTCTTCAACAGATCTCTGACCCAGTCCTTCTCGAGTACAAAGGAAAGACGATCAAGAGAGTGAAGGCCAGCTAGCGAGGATGGACGGGCCACTGTTGGCTAGAGTCGCCAGTGCACTCTTGGGGGACAGAGTAAGACGCGCCACTTCCGGAGGTACACTGAGTATCGACACCTGCCCTGGGCACGTGCTTCCTGTCCAGTATGCCTGTAGAGTGTGCCCGAGAACCTCAGAGGCGAGGGAAGCACAGCCAACATGCCCGGTTATCTCCCCCTGCGCCAGCTGCTGCACTCCAGAGACGGGAAACATCCAGGAGTTTTGAAATGTTCGCAGCATGCGCAGAAGGGTTTGGTTCAGACTCCTGTCTCCATCTCCCGTGGCCACCCACCCTTGTCCATTGGTTAAAGCTGATTGTGTCCCCACTTCAGTGCCAGGGCACTATCGGGGAGGCTGCTGGAGGCCTGACGACTCAGACAGACTGCTGACCCTGCGGGACGGGCGCGGGGGCTGGGGTGGCGCTGGGGGCGGCGGGGGGTAGCCCAGGGCCCCTGGCTGTTGTGAGAAGGTGGAGAGGAGCAGCGAGTCCTGCTGCTCACTGTGCAAAGAGGTTGGTGCCTGTACCTGGAAAGAAAAAGAAAGGGCTCCAGAGGCGGTTCTGACCTGTTGGACTACGGAACTGTCCTTGGGGGGGTCATGGGGTACAGGGGGCTCTAACTGGGCCTTGGGCAGGGTGTGGTTGGGGAAGGTAGGAACCTTAGGCTCTGCCACATGGGGTGAATTCTGAAGCCAAGTCTTCCAACACTGGGAGTTCTTTCTGGCCCAGGGCCCTGGGGCTGAGGCGGTGGAGAATGGTTTCCAAAACACATGGCCATGTACAGATGACCGACAGAGCAGAATGCAAACACACGTAGGGTCTGCACACTTGTCACTGCTGGTCCCAGATCCCATAACTACCTCCAAATACTGCGATTCGCCAGCACCTCCTAGGAAATATCCTGATTTGAAGTTCAGAAGCTTCAACTGGTCAAGGCCTGACTTTGGCCTTCTATGAATTCTCCCCCTCTAAGTGACTTAGTGCCCCCGACCCCCGGGCTCCTGGTGTACTTATCCTGCACATTGCTTGGGCTATCTTGTGGGAACATGGTCCCTTTCTTTTCCCCTGCACCTTGGGCATCTCCTGGACATCAGGCCCTGGGGCAGGTGGCTCCTGAGTTTGCACCCCTCTTCCATGAAGGCTTCCCCACTGCAGCACCCCCACCCTGCACTAACCCCAGCCACCATGCTCCCTGAGGACAGCAAGCAGGCTGAAGAGCTCTTTGTATCTGTAGCCTGTGTCTAGTGCACCAGTGTCTTCAAATGTGTCTGTGCCACAGCCACAGAATAAACACACGGGAGACCCGCCACACTTCTCCTCACCACCCCTGCCTTCTCGCCTCATTTCTCATCCAAAATCATGTCCATGTCCTGAGAACTGAAAAGTCCGACATAGTCAGCAATGCTTGACTTTGGCTCCAAAAAAACATTGAATGTAAAACCTTGATTAAAAACTCCTCTTCAAAAATGGACCTTTTGAGCACACAACTATATGAAGTATAATAGCTGATTCTTAATTTCTCATCCAACAAAGAGGCAGACTTTATACACTTTAAGCATGAGAAACGTTCACATAAGAATCTTTCTGGGGCTTCTGCACCAATGACAGGACAACCTTAAAAACAAAGAAGGAGAACTGGGATGTGGACCTTGGCCCCAGCTCCCCAGACCCCCCGTTATGCTGAGGTGCCCACCTGGGCCAAGATGCCCACCTGCAGGTAATGCTGCGGTGGTGGCTGCAGGGGCGGTGGCTGGGAGGCGGGGAAGCTGGGGTGAAGAACCGCCTGCCCCGTCAGCAGGACCGGGGTTGGGGTGCTGCTGCTGCTGGCGGGGTGCACTTCCGGAGTTTGGAACACGGTTTGGCTCTGGGCATACCTGTTTGGTTTCAGGTGGAGAAAACAGACCTTTTCAGAAAGCAGTATTGATACCACACTTAAGTATAGGCAACTAAAGAAAAAATACATAAATTGGACTTCAACAAAACTTCTGGGCATCAAAGGATGCTATCAACTGAAAAAAAAAAAGGCAATGAGGGCACATATTTGCAAATCATGTATCTGGTACGAAGTTGATACCCAGAATATATAAAGAATTCCTATAACTCCCCCCAGATCCTATGGGCAAAAGGCTTGAGTAGACATTTCTCCAAAGAAAGGACAGAAATGGTCAGTAAGCACACGAAAGGATGCAAAGTGTCACTAGTTTTTAGGGAAAAGCAAATCAAAATGAAACATCACTTCACACACGTGACAATAGCTATGAAAAGGAAAAGGAAAATAAGAAGTGTTGGCGAGGATGTAGAAGACTCAGAACTCTTGTGCTCTGTTCGTGGGAGCTGTAAAATGGGGCAGCCACTGTGGAAAGTGGTACCGTAATTCCTTAAACAATTAATCATAGAACTGCCATAGGACCCAGCAACTCTGGGTATGTATCTAAAAGAGGGAAAGCAGAGACGGAACAGACGCTGGTACACCTGTAGGTGTGAACACTCACAGAAGCATCACTCACAGTAGGTAAAAGGTGTCCTCTACAGACAGGTGAATGGGTTAAAAAAGTGGTCTGCTCATACTGGGGAATATTGTTCAGCTTTAAAAAGGAAGAAAGGTCTGATACACCCCCCGCCCCCAAAAGGATAAACCTCAAAGACATGCTACATGAAATAAACCAGTCACAAAAAGGACAAATGTCATATGATTCCTCTTATTAGGAGGGATCTAAGATTACCAAATTCTTATAGACTGAAAGTAAAATGGTAGCTTCCAGGGGCTGGAGGAGGGGAGTGGGGAGTTATTTATTTAATGAGTACAGAGTTTCCGTTTAGGAATATGAAAGAATTCTGGAGAAGGATGGTGGTGACGATGGTACAACATTGTGAATGTATTTACTGTTCTATACACTTAAAAATGGTTAAAATGGTAAAGTTTATATGGATGTAAATTTTGCCACAATAAAACACTTTTTTAAAAAAGAGATACTGGTAATAATTATTAACAAGGGGCAGAGAAAGGCCATTTAGGGAAGGTCTGCAAGATTGTGGATTAGGAACAGATGTTTATAGACACCACAGAGAGGTCTGCTTGACATTATATTTTTAAAGATGTTATCTCCCTGTGTGGGGTCGTCTGTGACAGGCATTGGGAGCTCCAAACCGTCCCTGAAGAGACGTGCGTGTGTGTGTGTGTGTGTGTGTGTGTGTGTGTGTGAGAGAGAGTGTAGGTAGATCCTGATACACCCTGGGGGTGGAGCTGTTAGGTCACATCTGGAAGAGACAGCAGGGGACCTGAGGAGGGCATAAATTATTGGTTTGACTCAAATGGCAGTTAGAATTCCCAGAGGAAAGAATTTCCATATTTGCCTAGTTCATGGCATTTTAAGCATCTCTAGAAAGTCATGTCACAAGAATTTTTGTTCCACTTCTTTGGATCATTTAGGAAGAACGGGCCAAATCCCAAAAGAAAACCAAAACCTCCTGCCTAACTAACTGATGGTGTGGCTGGAACTTTAAAGACATCTAGCAAGGTGCGGCTGCCTTCTCACCCTCCTGCACCCAGAAAGTCTCCAGGGCCAGAACGTCTCTGGGGGCAGAGGCTACCTAGAAAGTCACCCAGAGGCCTGGGGAGACCCTAGGTAGGGCCAACTGGGTGGTCTTTGAAGATTCAGGAAGCCAAGAGGGGGGGCTGTGGCCTGCAGCCAGATGGTCTGCAGCCCTGCAAGTGCTCTGTGTGGCCTTGGAGAGCAGAACATAGCCCCTTTGAAGCTGGGTCTCTCCATCAATAAAGCAAAGAGCATGCCCCTATTAGAGTTTTTATCAGGATAAAGTGAATCAATGTTCACAGAGGCCTCTGACACTCAGAAGAGCTCAATAACTGTCCGCTCTTACTATCCATACAGGCTGAAGGAAGGTACAGAGGGACTTCTAAGGGGATGGGCCCTGGGGGCGCCTGTGAGGTCTTTCCCCAAAGGGCGCAGCAGGCCTAAGCAGCCAGCACTGTCCTGGTGAGCTCTTGACACAAATTAAAGCAGTGTTTATATTATATAAAAGAGATGTCTCTGTGTTAGCTCTATTTCTGCCTCATTTCAAAGGGCTAGAAACTATTCTCCAGTAGCTTCTAAACTATTCACCCTTATGTCACCAGTCACCTTTGTCTCCAGCAGTTAAGCAGCTGAGGGAAGCTGCTGTGGTTTTGGGGGTCCCAGGGGAGAAGGGATTCAGGAAGTGAGAGAGGAAGCTGTATCTGGAGGGGGGTACCTCTGTGGGGGTTTCGGGTTTGTGGCAAGGATTCAGGTGTCTGCAGAATGTCACCTGGAGCTGGGGGCTACACTGCTCAGGGCTGTCACCAGAGATGAAGGTTTTTACACGTATCAAGAAGTCCTGAAATGATGGCAAACTGAAGTGGGGGTGGTGTAATTAATTGCTTCATTCAAGACCTGTTCTAAGGCTGGGGTGCTGACTCTAAGTTTTATCTGCTTACATAGAAACACTGGGGACAGTGAAGGGGACTCTGCCCCGTGAGGCCACGGGCACACTCTGCCACCGCCTTTGTACACGACTCACAGTGAGCGCTGCTGGCCCAGGCGGATGAGACTTCACCAGCCTGGGACCACTCGGGCAGCACTCAACCTCTTCCCTCCGCCCCAGGGCCACGTACTTGACTTGCCGTCCAGTCCTGCTGGCCTCTGAGGGCTGCCTCGCATCGCAGGACCCGGGCATCATGGGCTGGATGGGCTGGCTCAGCAACAGCCTTGGAGCAGAGGAAGCGAGATGGGAGAGTCTGGTCAGCACCCAAAGTGCTGCTCCACCGGCTGACGGCAGCATCCTCTGGGCCTGGCTGGACTGGGTACAGGTGACCTAATCCCCACTTCCCCTGCTTCCCTCTCAGAGGACAATGGATGCAGCAGGGCACTTCTCCTGCCACGTCCCTAGTTGAGGTCAGATGAGGATGGCTTAGAATCTGACCGAACTCTGTCAAGGCAGAAAGGAGAGCTGCTATAAACCATGCCTTGGTTACTGGTTATCAAGGACTGTGTCCATACCTGAGCTGCCGATCGTGGCTGAAGTCTGGGCTGGGCTGGCACTGGCTGGCACCCAGGGGGGTGGAGGCGGGGGTGGTCAGAGTGAGACTCGGTGGGAGCACAGGGGCGGCACTGCTGAACTGGGACACCAAGCTGCTCACGGAGCGGCCACTGTTCTGCATCACCTGCTGCGAGCTTCTCATTGGCTTTGGACCCTGAGAAAGGTGCAACTGAGACTCAACTCAGGCATCATCTGTCTGGGAAACCTCACCAGCAGCTCCTTCTACCCTCCCTGGCCTTTCCCCTGACTTAGGAGCTACCAACTCTTTATTGAATCATTTTGGTCTTGTGACTGTCTTTCCCTTTAGATTGTGTTTGAATCCCTAGGATCCGGGACAGTGCTAGGCTGGGCAGGCAAGGAACAGACTGGTGCTCACTAAACTACTTTCTGCTTCACAAATTCCACTCCAGACACAAGGACCTCCCGGCTGTTCTCAAAGTCATCAGGCCTACTCCGGCCTCAGGGCCTTTGCACTTGCCGATCCCTCTATGTCCCCTGATATTGCTATACTCCTCCTCTCACCCTCTCAGGTCTTTGCTCAAATGTGATCCATATGGTTTGTATATGTGTCCCCTCCAAATCTCACATTGAAATTGGATCCCCAGTGCTAGAGATGGGGCCTGGTGGGAGGTGTTTGAGTCATGAGGGTAGATCTCTCAGTTCCCTGGAGATCTGATTGTGAGATGGAACCTGGGGCCTCCTCTTCTCTTCCCAGGTGATATACCTGCCCCCCTTTGCCAGGAAGCTGCCCTCAGCTTCCTGAGGTCCTTACTAGAAGCAGAGGCTGGCACCATGCTTCTTGTACAGCCTATAGAACTGTGAGCCAGACAAACCTCCTTTCTTTATAAATGACCCGACCTCAGATGTTCCCTTATAGTGACCCCAACGGACAAGACAATCCTCTTTTCAGAGAGGCCTTCCTCACCAGCATTGCCGCTTGCCATTTCGCTATCATTTTTATTTGTTTGTTGCAACAGAAGTTCTTTTCTTTTCCTTTTTGTTCACTGCTGTGCCTCTGTGCTTAGAATGTTGTGTGGAACATGCAGTGAATACTCAACAAATATTTGGTGAATAAAATAATAAATGAATGAAGGAGTGGGCTTGAACTTGCTTTTCTGTTTCACTGACTATCCATTCACACTACAACACCACAGTGCTTTAATTCTTAGAGGTTTTTTTTTTTTTTGAGACAAAGTCTCAAGCTGTTGCCCTTGGTAGAGTGCTATGGCATCACAGCTCACAGCAACTTCAAACTCTTGGGCTTAAGCGATTCTCCTGCCTCAGCCTCCCAAGTAGCTGGGACTATAGGTGCATGCCACAATGCCTGGCTATTTTTTGTTGCAGTTGTCACTGTTGTTTGGCAGGCCCGGGCTGGATTTGAACCCGTCACCTTCGGTGTATGTGGCTGGTGCCTTAGCCACTTGAGCCACAGGTGCCAAGCCAGGGCTACACTTTCAAGCAAAATCTTTACAACTGGATAAAGATGGACTAAACTTTCTTAGACACATACTTATCCACACTGTACTATATGTTATGTATTTAAGTTCCCAGATTTCCTACAGGGCTAGAAGCTCCCTTAGGGTCAGGATAATCCTTGTTCATCTTTGTTCCCCTGGGTCATGGTAAATAATATTTCCTGAAGCCACAAAGGGTATGCAAATGTGACAGACTCTAGGAAGGCAGGTTTCCCACTTGTGCTCTCCCAGAAGCAGGGGCTCACGACTTCTTAATTCCATTCAGTTTAAGCACTGTTTGTATATTGGTGACCCTGCTGGGTTGCAAGGTCACTGGCGGCTTGTAATAAGAGGAAATGGCTGTAATGGTTTGGCAGGGGGCATTGGGGACCTGGAGGAGCATGGTGGGCCTGGGCCAAGGCACAATAAGCAGCGGTGGCTGCTCACATGGATAGTGGCTAAAACCAGGAGTAGGTGATGGGCTTTGCAGACCTGTCAGCACATGCCTGCACATCCTCATGTACCTCCAAACCTACATCGCATCAAAGCTGAAACATTCAGCTGTATGGTATATTTACGGGCCAGAGCCAGGACTACAGTGAGCATTATAAGCCCCAGAAGAAAGCCAGTTCAACTTGGGGCTTCAAAGTGACTTTATAAAAGCAAAGCACAACAACAACAACCAAAAATAAATATATCACCACCATAATCTATCCCCAGTGCACAGAGGAACAGCCCAGTAGGTTTCTAGTTCGTGAAGGTACAGGAATGAAGTGTGTCCCAGAATGCAAGAGCCTAGCCACTCTAGTGGCAAGGACTGAATTTGGAGAAGGACGCGTTTACCTGGGTTGATATCACGCTTGATTCTCTGAGCAGGTGCTGGCTTGTGACTTGAGCAGAGGTGATCTGCCCTGAAAGTTGGGGGCCTGCCCCGAGCTGGGCATGGGTCGCTACAGCTGACCTTTGCTGTAGCTGCTGCTGGGTCTCGGGCCGCTGGGTGCTGCTGAAACTCAGGGACACAGCTGGCTGCTGCAGAAACATCTGTGGGCAGAACAGAGATGCCCGTAAGGTTGGGGTTATCTGCGCCCTCACAGGGGTGCAGCTTCCTTGCAGTCC